TTGTGCTTTACGTATGGTTACCTATCTTGAGCTGTTTGATTCCTAAAGGTATGATTTTTTTATCATCAAGTTGTCACTTCTCTTTCTTCCAAGAACTTCATTACTGTTTTCCTCTATTGCCTTATTCATAAGCCTGAGATTAATAACAAAGTCAACTGTATGTAAGTATGCATACCTTGCCTGGTTAACTAGTTCACTAGTTACTAGCCGATCCTAAACCTGGATGAAGAGGGAAGATTGGGCATACAGCTAGCAACCCTACCCCGTAAAAACTACCTCAATCGCTAAAGAAATCTCAAAGCACAGGGAAAGGATAAGAAATAAAATTAAACTTATTCCTCGCTGGAATTGGATAGACGAAATGACGCTGGTTGGTGAAAGCCTTCGGGAAGCCAATTAACCGATGTGTCTTCTTTCTTTCAAAGAAAGTGAGAGTAAACATGGGGCACAGAATGTCCGCAAAATTCTTGTCAAAAGGTATTGCTTATTTCAAACAAAAAGGTTCCAATCACCTCATCTACTTCAAATTTGGTCACTTCATAGTAGCGTAGCATAAGGCCTCATATATATCATTCATAGTCTGTGCATAAACATGTGTCACGATGATCTATCTCTTTTCATTCAATAAATTAACAGATTATAAAAGTGAAAATGTTTAGTTACTAACGTGTCTGTAATAGATTTGCTCAATTTGACAAGTTAACCGATGAGGATACATTTTTATATTTTGAAGACTATGGTAAAATGATTTTATTGATAAATTCTTCCACAGAACATGTTTCATTGTCATTGTAAATTTGTCTGGAATATTTCTTGTTAGTACAACTGATGAAGCTATTGAAATTCTAAAGTGCGTATATCACAATCAGCTCAGATAATCAAAGTAGAAGTTGAAAAATATTTTCCTGCTATCGACATATTAGTTTTAAACATCATCATCATCAGTCCCTTGGGTTCTTAGTGGAATACAGGGCTTCAGTAGCACGCCTCCAGTGACCTCTGTTCTCTGAGATCTTTTGAACCTGGTCCCACGACAGCCCACAACCTCTCATTTCCTCCTCGCACAACCTCCTCCACGTCACCCTCACGTCGGACGTCCAACTCGTCGCTTCCCATGGGGATTCCACTCGAGCAACTGGCCTGGCCTGACGCGTGATGTCCTCAGTCGGCCTTCTCAGTGCATGGCCAATCCATCTCCACTTCCTCCTGCATATTTGTTGGATGATAGGTTCTTGGTTGGTTCGTTCCCAGAGCTCCTTGTTGCTTATTCTCATTATTCTGGCCATCTGATCTTCAGTATCGAGCCAGCGTAAGCAGTTGTTGATGAATGTCTGTAGTTTATTGGAAATCCCTTTCGTGACGCGCCAAGTCTCTGAACCATCACACAGAAGCACTGACTTGACATTGGTGTTGAAAATCCGTATCTTGTTCTGCATGCTGAGTGCAGAAGATCTCCACACTGGTTTCAGGCCAATGAACGCATGTCTTGCTTTTCCGATTCTGACTTTGACATCCTCGTCTGTGCCTGTGTTGCCTGTAGTTGAAACAGTGCTTCTTAGATAAGTGAAGGAGGTTACTTCCTTTAAGTTTCTCCCGTTGACGGTGATTGGAGTTTGTTGTTGTTGTTGGAGTTGTTGGTGCGGTATCTTCATCACCTCTGTCTTCTCTATATTCACCTGAAGTCCGTCATCGCTGCCTCTTCTATCAACTTGTTAGTTTTTGCCTGCAGATCTTCAAGTTTATGTGACATAGGCACAAGTCATCGTTGGCGAAATCCAAGTCTTCTAGGTTCTTTTCCGCAGTCCAGTGTATCCCCTCTTCTCGCTGCCTACTGTTTGCTGCATGATCCAGTCCACCACAATAAGGAATATCATGGGGATAGTAGGCAACCTTGTTTCACTCCTGTCTTCACTTCAAAAGCATCACTGAGCTTCCCATTGTGAATTACTTGGCTGGCATGTGGCATCTTCATATAGTTGTTGAATGAGGCTGATAAATGTTTGCGGTACTCCGTAGTATTGAAGCAGTTTCCAAATTACTTCTCGGTCGACGCTGTCAAAGGTGTTCTCAAAGTCGATGAAGTTGAGGTAGAGAGCTGATTGCCATTCTATGCTATATGCATAGGTAAACTGAGTGATTTTTCATGAGTGTCCAGTCATTCCCACCAATCGATTGCGTAACAATAAGAAAACAAATGAATAGTGATAGAAACAAGAAGGAGGGAAGAGGTGTACAAAGTAATACTAGAAGTTACACCTCATGTTGACGGCCATTGGTAATGAAAGTGATCGAACAAACTTCTTTTAAATACAATGGTTAGGTTTGTAAAGGTGGATTGCAATAGCCTATGCTATGTGAAGTAAGCGAATGAGTAATCCATGTGATGGTAAATTAATTGGAATGTGATGAATAATTTTGAATGCTTTTCTAGTATCAACTTGATGTCCCTTTTCAACTAAATGCGCAGGTGTGGAGCTCTTCAATGTTCTTATTTGTCCCTTGCTAAACTATGATGGGTGCTGCTCAGAAACTCATGTTTAAAGAATATATTTCTTCACTTATTCAGTCTTTTTCGTAAATGTCTAGTTGGGAATATTCAATGTATTGTACATTTACTAATCGAAAAATTGTTTTGCAATAACGTTGATTATTCTAACCAATATTAGTCTTAGAAACTAACTGTAGATATCTCTGTGTTCTGTTTCATCAAGAGAATGGCTTAGTCAATAAATACCCGTCTTATTCCTATTGACTTATGTGTTTTTTACAGAGGTGACTCATTCTGTTCAGGACATTATAATTTCGGGTTTGCATTCATCATGAACTGACATAAGTTGGTGGAAAGTTGGAAACTTGGGAGCACTGGAAAGCTGTTTCGTCCTAGAATAGAACTCCTTGGCAGTGTGTACCCATGACCGCGCCCGCCACATCAGGGATCGAACCCAGAACCTCCAGCTTCCGTAGCCAATATGTTATCACTGAGCCAATGGGTGGACGGAATCCAGTGGTCTATACTTCCAACTCCCGTTGGTCCACAATACAGCACGATCATCACCCAATATCACCGTTGAATATTTGTCCTTATGGTCACCAGCTTTACCTCATCAGTCAAGAGTGGTGGAGTCATGGGTTCGCACTGCTGAGGAGTACATACTAGGATGAAACAGCTGTCCAGTTTTCTCAGATTTCGAATGTTCCTTCTACTGATATCAGTCCATGATGAATAGCAACTTGAAAAATTCATAAATCCACACAAACCCCAAAATTCAACTTTATAATTTACTTGATGGTGGGTTTCAATGAAATGTAGGACGTGAGTTTCGTCCTATCTAAGACTCGTCGGCTGAGTGTGCCTGAACTCCAGTGGGTGATGATTTCTCCCACTAAGAATCGAACCCCCCATCTATTTCTTCACATACCAGAACGTTATCTCCTAGGACGATGCTAGTCAACACCAAGTAAATTATAACAATATATACTCAGGTAATATCAAGGCATCTGATAGAAGCTTATATGTACAAAGAGGGTTGATCAATTCGACCCAGTATAATAATGGGAAATTACAAGCATCAACAAATAATCAAGCAACATACAGCCTATAAATTGTTCATTTGTAACCTGTAGATCTCCTATACTGAGCGGTGGCATCTTTGCGATTTAATAACAACACAGCAAGAAGAAAAATACAATGTGCTTACGGATCTAATGTTTCACCAATTGGTGAATTTCAGCTATGATACTCTATAATGCTTTTGTAGAAAGTCTTAGAAATGTAAACCACTATTTTACAATTACCAACATAGGTCAGGAGAACAATACTCATCGTTTTTCTTGTTATGAACAGCGACAATCACCATTTCGTTTTTGCTCTTGAGAATTGAAACCATCCGTGCTGTTATATATATCTTACTTTTTTTAAATGCTAGATCATTTACTTCTATACAGGCTCTGCTTTGAAATATTATTATTTTTGGATACCACGAATTCCCTGTTGTTATACTAGATTGACTTAATCGACGTTTGTTGGCTAATGGGCCTTTATGCGTATGGAACGCGTATCCTAAATTCGACTGCTTGTCACCGTCAAGAAAGTCTCTACACTAAAACATTTAAAAATTCGGTTGGTAATTGAAAAGTTAATTATCGGTTCCATTTTTTTATTCGATATTTAATCCATAAGTAGTAGAGTATAGGAATTCAAGTGAACAGAACTCACCAAGAAACCCTTCTTTCTGGACAGCGATATCAATAATAAATTCTTGGTTATTTACCTAAGTATACCCGATAACATCTAACTAGGTAATATTTGCGATACATTTCCAAGCCAATTCATATATATTACGACTTATGGTGCAATCACTTCAAAATCTAATGTTGTATTGTGTTCTCTGAGCTGGGTTATTTATTTACAGAGTTTTCATCGTCTTTCTAAACGACAACTCCAGTACTAACTTCAGTATGAAGATGTCGTCTAGAAAAACGATGAAAGCTCCACGAATAAACAGCTCAGCTGAGAAATCATAATACAACCAAGACTATCCACCTAAGCTACAAATATTCTCCACTTTTTCTAATATTCTTTATTTTGATCCCACGAAAGATCATTAGTACTCATATCATAATAATTCTAAGTAGGACGAAGCATTTCCTCAATGGTCTCTTGCTTCCTGGGATTTCCTACTTTCCATTGATGTGTAAATGAAAGTTTCAGTTCAATGGAAGCCTCAATAGTTTAGTGATCACTATAAAACTAACATTTCGGTCACAAACCAGAGTTGTTGTGATTCGTATCGTTTAGTAAGTAATAAAAGTCAATCAGAAAAACCATATACTTAAATTATTTTTAATATTATTTTCAAGGTATTATATTCACATTAAGAGAAACGTTTCTTAGCGCAATATTTTCAAAGTTGGGATAGTTCACTTTCTATATCTCATTATACGAATAGCTCGTTTAGGTTGATCAACAGATCGAGTTGGAATACTGGTTAGAATTCGTCTTAGTTTACGCGCTGTATTCTTATAGGATCTTCCAACTCGAGGAAATAACGTGGAACGTTCTTCTCGATCAAACGTCTCCATATTGTCTCATCCTCATCCAGTATTTCATTCCAGTAATCATTATCTGGTATACTGTTTAAGCAATTGGTTATTGAAGCTAAAATGTAAGATGAAGTAGTTAGTTTCTCATCTATTGAAAGTGACATTTATAGTGTAGTAGAAGTTGCTTTTTGTACATAAATTCTAACCTAAATATCTAGTTCAACGCTTCGCATCATCATAGAACAGAGCATAGAATGGCAATCAGCTCTCTGCCTCAACTTCATCGACTTTGAGAAGGCCTTTGACAGCGTCGACCGAGAGGTAATTTGGAAACTGCTTCAATACTACGGAGTACCGCAAACATTTATCAGCCTCATTCAACAACTATATGAAGATGCCACATGCCAGCCAAGTAATTCACAATGGGAAGCTCAGTGATGCTTTTGAAGTGAAGACAGGAGTGAAACAAGGTTGCGTCTACTATCCCCCATGATATTCCTTATTGTGGTGGACTGGATCATGCAGCAAACAGTGGGGAGCTGTGAGAAGAGGGGGATACACTGGACTGCGGAAAAGAACCTAGAAGACTTGGATTTCGCCAACGATGACTTGTGCCTAATGTCACATAAACTTGAAGATCTACAGGCAAAAACTAACAAGCTGACAGAAGAGGCAGGGCAGCGAAGACGGGACTTCAGGTGAATATAGAGAAGACAGAGGTGATGAAGATACCGCACCAACAACTCCAACAACAACAACAAACTCCAATCACCATCAACGGGAGAAACTTGAAGGAAGTAACCTCCTTCACTTATCTAGGAAGCACTGTTTCAACTACAGGCGGGACAGACGAGGACGTGAAAGTCAGAATCGGAAAAGCAAGACAGGTGTTCATTAGCCTGAAACCAGTGTGGAGATCTTCTGCACTCCACTCAGCATGTGGAACAAGATACGGATTTTCAACACCAACGTCAAATCAGTGCTCTTGTATGATTCAGAGACTTGGGGCGTTACTAAAGGGATTTCCAATAAACTACAGACATTCATCAACAACTGCTTACGCTGGCTCGATACTGAAGATCAGATGGCCAGAATAATGAGAATAAGCAACAAGGAGCTGTGGGAACGAATCAACCAAGAACCTATCGCTCAACAAATATGCAGGAGAAGTGGAGATGGATTGGGCATGCACTGAGAAGGCGGACTGGGGACATCACGCGTCAGGCCAGTTGCTCGAATGGAATCCCCAGGGAAGCGACGAGTTGGGTGTTCGAGGAGAGGGTGACATGGAGGAGGTCGTGCGAGGAGGAAATAAGAGGTTGTGGGCTGTCGTGGAACCAGGTCCAAAAGATCTCAGAGAACAGAGGTCACTGGGGACGTGCTACTGAAGACCTATGTTCCACTAGGAACCCAAGGGACTAATAATAATAATAATAAATAGCCAGTTAGATTCATGCACAAAATAAACATAAGCAGAAATCTGACTCTGTTGTCATGCATACTTTAGTAAATTGAGATAACCTCTAATTTTCATGTATAAATTACTTAGGATCAAAATGAACTAGATCTATGAGTTGATTAGTAAAAATGGTGTTTTTAATATAAGAGTAAAACTTGTGAACTGTGGTAGAATGTAATCCCATTTTTATTGATTTATGAGATTTATCACACACTGTGGAACACCATTGTTTACTGGATTACGTTTCGGACATAATTTATGCTATCCATAGTCATATCATGATGACTAAACAACTTTAAGATATCCTTTATATAGTCCTAATTTCCTCACCTTTTTGTGAGATGGGTAGTAAGATGTTCCATATATCTGGAACAGGTACTGAGTCATTCCTGTTGCTGTATGTATTAGGTGTTGGTTGATTCGATAAACAAAGACTCAGTTATCAATCTCCATCTCTACCCTGTTATGTTAGTTTTAAGAATTTTCACCCTGTCCCATCTTATTGTGTGATTGTGTGCAATCGCATGTATAGCTATGGCTGAGTTTTTTTCCAAATTCCTTACCTTACTGGGATCTACCAACTTTGACCTAGGTAAGCTTTTGTGTTCCGATAGCCTGATTGATCCTGGTCGACTACTTTGACCTATGTATTTGACAACTGTGCAATCGTTTCAAGGGATTTGGTAAACTAAGTTATTCTGCTTAATTGGGTCAATAGAATCTATTAACCTACAATATTTAGGTTTCAGAATAAAATATACAAACAAACAGGAGTTGCCATAGAAGCACGAATATCCTCCATTGTGGCTGACATATTTATGGACAGTTGGGAACGGATGGCTGTAGAAAAATTTAGTCCGGCTCCAAAAATATGGTTTTGCTATGTAGACGACACATTTACAGCGTTGAAATCGGAACACATCACTCCGTAATGAACACTATCTTGCCCGGGAATGTCAAAATACGTAAATATTTTCCGTTTATACTTTTTATCACACACCTAATGCTAAGGATAAAAAGGGATAAAATAATTTTGTATTTGTTATGCCTGAGAAATTCATAAGTTTACGAGTAGTAGAAAAACGAGAAAAGAAAATAAAACTTCATTTTCCTTTGTTCAGAAAGGTGTTGTCAAGTTAGCATATACACGGAACCTTACAAAGAGAAATAGATAAGTGCATACTGTGACATTTTGTAATGACACGGAAAGTGAACAGATGGAGAATGAGTTAACATAAAGAACGATTTTCAGTAATCACTTATATAATACATTTACTTTTCTTCCAAATAAATTCTCAAGTCATACTTTTCTCATATATTTGTTCGTTTGCTTTTTAACACATCATTTTATATTGGATAGTCTGTTCCGCTATTTTAACACCCATTGATGATGGGATAGTAGTAAACAGAGGGGCTGTTACTGAGTTATCTAAGCGTTCAACTATCAACCGCTTGGTCAGACATTCAAACTCCGTTCTACCTACCTAAGTTTCGGCAGCTAGTTAGTATCATAAACTCTCATACAATGGGTGTTACCGGTTACATAGTGCACAATAGTAGTCGTGGTGTCATAACGACGAATCCGTGAAATTTGACAGGAATTTCACTCAGTCTCATTAAAAACGATTGTAACTAAGTTTAACAACATCGAAATACAATGAATAGACCTATTTTCAGATCAGAAGATAACTACCAACTACCTCTGATCATCTGCTGACAAAACAGTTAACCATCACTAGAATCAAGTTGTGGCTAGCAGAAGAATCCAGGACGTGTGTTTCATCCTATTTAGGACTCGTCAGCTGATGTACCTGCACCTCAGTGAGTGATGTTGTTCCTGATGAGACTTGAACATCGTACCCATTGCTTCAAACGCCAAGATGTTATCCACAAGTGATTAACTCCTGATAAGTTAGAATTTAAATCATGAAAAATATTGTATAATCTATGCAGAAGGTCTTACCGCATAATGAAATTAGACAGATGAATCGTACTAAAGAGTTCATTTTCAGTATTCCTGTGAAATCTGTAAAACGAATCGAAAAACGATTTAAATAGTATTTCGACAAAACAATCAGATGTTAATTGTCTGAACCGTGTAATAAGCATTTGTGCAACACACTTCGAACAATCTAATCGCATACACACACGTACTTGTCATTTATATGGGAATTCATGAAGATAAAGGGTGAGAAAATGAAAAGAGATTAGGCTGGAAGGCTAAATAACAATAAAAATCAATAAAACGAAAATAATAGCACATCGAATTTAGTTATCATAGAGATTTAACGTGATAACAAATGGTTTATAAACATACAAAGGTGGTTTGAACTTCGTAATAGCTAAAGCCTCAACAAATTTAAGGATCCATCCTCAACATGTTCTGTAAAATAAGTGTAAAGAAAGTAGACACATCAGTCTTGTGACCTGCCTCAACGATATGCTTCGTGATCGAAAAACTTAGACATCAGCTACCAATGTTGATAGGTTCAGATGATTTAACTTACTTCTGAAGCCAATTTGGAATATGTTCGGAGACTCTTACTTGTATGGATCTATGACCCCTCTGTATTTATGTATCACCACAATAAGATGTAACGTTTTCATTCACATGTTGTATGGGTTTGGGAGAATATACAGGCTTGGTGGTTTCTATTAATCAAACCCTGGCTGCATAGTAAGTTCTTCTAACAGCAGCGTTAAATCTCTGTTTAAGGATTGCACTATGACAGTCACATGTATACGGAAGACTGATTAAGACATCCTTATTTGGGACAAACTGAAGATCTGGCTTTGATGCTCTGATTTATTTGTTCTGTCTAATAAATTTTGATGGGTAGTTATTTTCTAACCGTATTTCAGTCAGTGTTCCTAATTGTTTTAAATAGCATTCACCTGTTTTGCAAACACAAATAACAGAGATAAATGTAAAACATTTGAGAACAGACTGTAAAACAGATTATTCACCAGTAACGATGTCCTACAACTTCGATTGTTGAACTTCAATAAAAAAAATCGGAACGAAGAATATGCCCTTCAGTAAGTCTTCATCGAGTATTGGTCTGGTGATAATAATGAAATTCTCACCATTTCTTGGTCTCTTAAAAGCCTCACTATGTTGTTTGGTCAGTACACCTCATGATATATTCGTTTTGTTTCCAGACTGAAAGCAGTAGTTCACCATAATTGATTTGAATCTTTCTAACTATGCACACGATGGTGTGTGAAAAACTGTTTGGTTAATTTGCTTGTATGGCATACTTATCAGAGAATATTGTCAGGCGCTTGAAGGACTTAGAAACGATCAGAGTATCCACTCACTAGTCTTGAACCTGATGAGAATATCTACTTGAAAGAATATTCCTCTTTCGGACTGCTTTATTAATGCTATGGTAATCTTTAAATGTTACATTCTAATTTTCCAGTATATCATATTGGAATATTGTCTTAAAAACTGAAAAAAATTGTTCTTTGAAAACTGTTGACTTCTGTCTTTATATGAGGAAGGAAATAGCCTTCTGACGATATCAGTTAACAAGAGCTATTGTTAAATTCTTCGTTGAGTTGTTTACACAATGTATAATAGCTTAGAGTTCCAATGAAACTGAAGACGCATATATATATATGAAACCTTCGTCAATCGTACTCTGTAAACAGCATAACTTTCGTTATAAGTGACAGTATTTAAAGACAATTTCAGGTCAAAAAATGTTGGCGTCAAAAAGTTATTCACTGATCACCTTAAATATGTTTCTGTTGTAAGGAAGTTAATTCCACTTTGCCAAAGGATTTTAACTAAAGTAAAGATTTAAATTATTTTATATCCACTACTCAACTGGTGAATCCTTTGATCATTACACCTACACAAGTCTGAAGTAAACTTTGTGAACTAATCACATCCTTAATATAAGTGTAAAACTTGGGCACTATGGTAGAGTTTAATTCTACATTAGATTTGTTTATTTGATGTATAACAAGCAGTGATAGAGCATTATTTAATTGATGACGTTTCAAGCATAAATTATTTCTTATTCTTATCATTATTTATCCCTTGGGTTCCTAGTGGAACATAGGGCTTCAGCAGCACGTCTCCATCCCACTCTGTTCTCTGCAATCTTCTCAACCTGGCCCCATGACAGCCAACAAGCTCTTATTTCTTCCTCACACGATCTCCTCCATGTCACTCTCAGTTGGGATGCCCAACTTACCGTTTCCCTCTTGGATTTCACTCGATGGCCTGACGCGTAATGTCCCCGAATCGTCTTCTCAGTGCATATTTGTTGAGTTGTTACTTCGTTGTCCAGCCAGAGTTCCTTGTTGCTTATTCTCATTATTCTGGCCATCGGAGCTTCAGTAACATACCAGCGTAGGTAGTTGTTGATGTATGTCTGCAGGTTGTTGGAAATGCTTTTCGTGATGCGCCAAGTCTCCGAACAATCACATGGAAGCACTGACTTGACTGAATTAGTGCTGAAAATCGGGATCTCGTTCTTTATGTTTAGTGCGGATTTCCACACTGGTTTCAGGTTAATGAATGCCTGTCTTGCTGTCTTTCCGATCCTGGCTGCTTTGACATGGTCATCTGTGCCTGTGCCGCCTGTAAATTAAACGAAGCTGCCTTGTCTAGGTAGGTGTAGGTGAGGGAGACTACTTCCTTTAAGTTTCTCCCATTGATGGTGATTGGAGCCTGTTGGTGGTGGTGGTGTTGGTTGAGTATCTTCATCACCTCTATCTTCTCTACGTTCACTTGAAGTCCCGTCTTCCTTCGCTGTCTCGCCTCGCCTCGCCTCTTCTGTCAACTTGTTAGTTTTCGCTTGTAGATCTTCGAGTTTGTGTGAGATTAGACACAAGTCCTCGGTGAAATCCAAACCTTATAGAATCTTTTCCCCGGTTCAGCGCATCCCCCTCTTCTCCCTCCTCACGGTTTGCTGCATGACCAGTTCACCACAATCAGGAATATCATGTGTGGTAGTAGGTGGCAGCCTTCTTTTACTCCTGTCTTCACTTCAGAGGCATCTAAGAGCATTCTATTGTGATTTACTTGGTATGTGGCGTCTCCATATAGTTGCTGAATGAGGTTTATACAGATTTGTGGCACTCTAACCGTAGTGTTGGAGCAGTTGTCAAATTACTTCTTGGTCGACGCTGTCAAAGGCCTTCTCAAAGTCGATGACGTTGAGGTAGAGTTAAGTTGACTGCCATTCTGTGCTCTGTTGTATGATGATGCGTGGTGCAGCGTTGCAATTCGGTCCGCACATGATTTGTACTTCCCGAATCGAGCCAGCCTGTTCCGTTCGTAATTTTGAATCCAGTGCATCCTTTAGTCTCTTCAGGATGATGCAGCTTAATATTTTGCTTGCTTTGGGTGGACAGGAGCATGATTCAGCGCCAGTTCTTGCAAAGTCTTATAGCCCTTCTTCGGGAGTTTAACAAGGTAACCCTTCTTCCAATCAATCGCCAGGTACCATCCCTTCCTCCCACACCTTCTGCAATAGTGGTGTGAGCATGTCTGCTGTTGTCTCTGCGTCTGTTCTCAGTGCTTCTGGCGGGGTTCCATCTGGTTCTGCTGCTCTCCCGCATTTCAGTAGCCTTATGGCATTCAGGAATTTGACTTTCGTCGGAGGATTTGTGTTCACTGTAGTTCTGTGGCTGGGCTGCTAGTGGTATTTGTGGACGAAGTGCAGGTGGTGGTCGATTCAAGAGCTTTTTGAAGTGGTCAGCCCATTGTTTCCTTTGTTTCTCTTCTTTGGTAATTAAATTTCCTTCATCATCTTTTATTGGTTTCATGTGTGTTGATCTCTTCCCTTCCAGATAGTATCTAGTTATTTGATACAATGTTTTCAGGTCTCTCTTACCTACAGCTTGTTCTGCTTCACTTGCCAGTGTTTCGTAGAAGTGTCTTTTGTCTTTGCGTGCACTCTTCTTCACTTCTTTGTCCAGTGTAGTGTTTTATACATTGTACTCAGTTCCTCTTGTCGTTGTGCATCCTTGCACTGGTTTATCTTCTGCTTCACCATCCTCCTCTCCTCTATCAGCTTCCATGTATCCATCGAGATCCATTCCACTCCTTATCTTCTTTCTTCTTCCTTCCTAATACGGTTGTGCAGGTTTCTTTCACATAGCTTTCAAAGAGTTCCAGTGTTCTTCCACACAGGTTTCTTCAGGGATGTTTCTCGATATCTCCCATTTTGTCTTGATGGCTGCCTGAAGATTCCTTTGTAGTTTCATCCTTCAGTTTCCGAGTGTTGTACTGAACTGTGGTCTATCACCAGCTTCCTTGAAGGCTTTTAACTTGATTTGGAAGTTCCGTTGCACTCGATAGTGAGTGGTGTGAACCTACATCTGCTCCTCTTCTTGACCTTGTGTCAAGTAGACTGCGTCTCCACTTCCTTGACATTCATATGAAGTCGACCTGATTTTTAGTGTGTCCATCTGGTGAAATCAAATTCATATCGCTTTGTAAATATCCTTGTGTTTGTACACACTGCCTCCAATCACCAAATCATTGAATGAGCAGAAATATGCAAATAGTTTTCCATTCTCGTTCATTTCACTTAACGCTTCTCGACCTATGATGAGTTCTCTTCCTGTGTTTTCCATTCCCAGTTTAGTATTCATGTCACACCACCTATTATAATTTTGATATCGTCAACTGATGTCTTGTCCACTACTGATTCCACTTGTCTGTAGAATTCATCCTTCTCCTCGTCATCCACATTATTTTTAGCCACATAGCATTGAATGTGTGTGTGTGTTGTGTGTGTGTGTGACTTCCCTCACTCTTAATTCGAATCTTCCTGCCATCATCCTCATCCTAGCGGAGACTGGTTCCCACTGCATGAGAGACAGTCATTGATACTCTTCAAGGAGATATCATGATGGACACTCCACAACTCAGTGTGCTCGTGGTTGTCGTCTGGATGACAACATCGAAGTAGATTATGAATCTCCTCTCCAGTTGACAGTTTGTAGTGTCCACTGCCATTCCATCTACTGATTCTTCGCAGATACCAAGCACTCCAATGC